TAAAGAGGGAAACATTTCATTTGTAATATTTCATTATCCATGGGTAATCATATTTATTACCTCAGTATAATTGCCAGTATTACTTTCTACTGTTGTGCTTATGTTATTTCAGAATTGTATTGTATGTATTTCCTATTATGTTTCTTTCTTTCTTTCTTTCTTTGGTTTTTACTTTCTAGGCACTGCATTTCTTATGTTATGTCATTTTGTCTTTTGCATAATTTGACACAAGAAATTCCTTCAGGATTAATAAAGTTTAACTTCATTTTCTCTTATCCTTTCCTTACTTATCTTATCTTTAAAACAATATTAATTTTTACTGGAAGGTTCTTAAAGTATTTTTATTATTATTTTTAACTATTTATATTATTTTACAAAAAAACAAGGAAAACATAGAAGAAATAAAAAAACTAAAGTAAGAAGGAGGGTTTTCTATCGTTTCCCACCTGTCCCCTTAGATTTTTCTGGCGGACCTCTGAGGGGTCCCGACCCTCATGTTGGAAACCGCTGCTATATCTCACATTTGGTTCCTTATGTCAGAAATAAGAGTTTTCATCCATTTTGTCCACGGGTTGCTGTGATGCCGGGGTGTCAGGCCTGGGGAACCCTGAGCAGCTCCATCATGACGCGCGCGCTCTCTCTCTCTCTCCCTCCCTCTCTAACCGTCTCTCTCGCTCTCCCACCGGCACAAACCAGCCAATCAGAGGGCTCGGATCGCCTCCTCTCTCTCCCTCTCTCTCTCTCTCTCTAAGTCCACAGGAGCGGTCCTCCTCCTCCTCCTCCTCCTCTCCTATCAGAGACACACATTCACACACGCACACATACACACACACTCACACACATCCACACACACACACACTCGGTCCAGTCCAAACCCCCAGAAAAGCCCTGCTGAATCCTCACACCGTCTGTCAGCATGGGGAGCGCTTGTTTTTCCCGGGACGTTTGTTTGTTTATCCTCCTCATAAATACTTGCAGGGTGATGGGGAATGTCGGACTCGCAGGTAAGAGCTCCCCTTTCTTCTCTGTCTTGCGTTATTGTCAACCGTTCCATGGACTTTTTCCGTGGGTTTAGTCTTACCGGCTTCAAGGAGGAAATGATGGAGTGAAGAAAAAAAAAAAAAACTACGAGGGATATTCTGATGAGACACAGAAGACTTTAAAAAAAATCCTGAATTAAGCTGCTTAAACTAGTAGCCCTATAAGTTCCTATGTGCAGATGTTATCACAGTGTACTTATGTGGCGCTGCATGGATGCTAAAAGTACACTTCTGGCACTGGAAACCCGCACTGTTCCTACTGCCCGCTGTCATTAAACATATTTCTGTTTGTCATTTACTTACTTAGTAAAGCACACTTGATGTATTAAATGTCAGGTTTTTGGTGGGAACTTTGCTTTACATCACAGCTCCCCTCCTGAGCTGTATTTGTGATGTGTAAATGGATTTAGTCTCCCAGACTTGACTGGAACTTCTGTTTCCTGCGCGCAAAGGTCAGTTTCAATCGGAAACCGCAGCTTGATCTCTGGGTTAAGCGCTCATTTGCTTTGATTTGGAGTGAGAGAGCTGCCTGTTTTCATATTTCACGGTGGGGGGAACACGATGCAAATGATTTACCGAAGGTGGTTTTCACAAGTCCGCTAGAGAGCATCTCGTGTCCGGGGTTTGGTGGCCTGTCCGGAGCTACTGGAGGGAGGAGGAGGAGTGTGTGTGTGTGTGTGTGTGTGTGTGTGTGTGTGTGTGTGTGTGTGTGTGTGTGTGTGTGTGTAGAGGAGGGGTGGTAGTGGCGGCAGGAGAGCCGTCAAGAGTCCCAGGAGGAGCAGGCAGGCAGTAGGGGCCCAATATCGACCGTGCAGCAGCAGCAGGAGCACATTGTTCAGCCTCCCACCACTGTGAAGGGCTGAGGAGTCATTATGAGACAGCGGGGCTCTGACAAACCCAGGAGGACTCAGGTTGATGCAGCAGGAGGAGCAGAGGAGGAACTCAGATGATCAAAATGTGTCCTCTTTCAAAAACCCACCTGAACTTGTTGCTGCCTCTGCCCTGGGACTCCCTCTCTGTCTCTCTCTGCTTCTCCTCCAATAAAAGACTCACACACTTTTTTAACAGGAAAAATATTTATTGTAAATTCCGTTTTATGGTTTATTTATTGCCTTTGTACGGCCGAGCTGGGCCGAGGGCCAGACAGAGAGAAGGGCTGAGCCACAGGCTGCCTCCAGCTGGGCCGCTAACATACACATGGGCTATTTACACTGCGATGGCAGCAGAGGAGCAGGAGAGCAGCTCTGTGGCGACGCAGAGGTCTGCTGAACCACGACACATTCTGACTGCACCAACCAGAACATTTCTGTGTGTTTCTGGTTCTCCCTGTCCTGCATGTGTGGATGTGTGTGTGTGTGTTGTGTAATGAGCTGGCCCTCTGCCCTCAAACTCAGGCCCAGATGTGACCATCTCCTCCGTCAATAACCTGATCAATTGAGCAGCCGTTAAGCAAGGATTATGCTCTCCTGCAGACGTGCACGCAGGCAGCTGAGGACACCAAAAGTAGTTTTAAATTATGCTATTTTCTAGCCCATGTCTTGATTCTTCTTGGAGGACGTGTTCCATACATGCACTGAGGCCATGCATGCTAACTACTGCCAAACATGCGCACTACTGTCCTTTTACTGTGGTGGCTGTTTGGGCACAAATGTTCGGCTGTACCTAGACTTCCACAGAAGGGTGTCCAGAATCGTGGATTTGAGAAGATGACAAAATTTCTGTCACACTGACCCCAGCAGACCATCGTGTACTTACAGATGCAGAAAGTGCAACACTGGCTTTTACGTCTTTGTCACATTTCTCGACGGATGCGTTCTGTTCATGTGAAGCAGAATCTATGTAATCTGCCCACGCACAATACTGCACTGTAGCATAGCACGTACTGACTGTGCAGACAGACACAAATGCTGGGCTGCACTCTGGTAACAAAGTCTAGGTCACCTGGACCCAAGCAGACCCTCATGTAGCTGTAAAGTCTTGATTTTACTTCACTACAGCTGCGTACATGGACAATTCTGGACAGCTGTTCACATCATGGACACATAGTTTTAAAATGCTATTGCTTTCTAGTCTACTTGGAGGATGTGTTCCATACATGTCCCGTTGTTTGGTCTTTATGTCTTTCCCAGCATGCACACCGCTGCTGAGCATGAACACAAACGTTTGGCTGCACGTGGATGTTCTCAAAGGTGTCCATGTCAACTGTTATTGACTTGGGCAGATGACAAAATTTGCTTAAATTTGTAGAAACTGTTAGGCTTTGATTGTACTGCTTTCCATGACAGCTGCAGATCCCGGGGAGGATGTAGTGTTTGTTCAAGATAAATTAGTAGCCTCTGCAACATAAAATTTGGGTGGCACGTCTGCAGAAGGGTCTGCACAGACGCTCACAGATGAGACTAGATGCTGAAATCCACACAGATCTTCGTGGATCGTTGCATCGTCGCAGACACGTAAAATATAACGCTGGCTTTAAAGCCCTCTGTCTGGTGCATGTCGTCTGCTGTTGACTCAAGTTGTGGAAGCTGTAGGATGAAGAAAAGCGATGCTACATTTCCCACGATGCAAATTCAAACTGGCTTTCATTAGATCTGCCTTGCTTAGTATCTCTTCAACCTGCCTCACCTGATCGTGGCTGTGCGGCCAACATTTTTGTCTTCAGATGTGAGTGGATGTCACATCATGCAAAGTAGTTTGTTTCATTTTTAGCACAGTCCTAATTGCTTATGTCTTCACACTTTGATGTTGAAAAGCTCCATCCAGAGCAACAGAAGACAGAATAAAGACAGCTCTTTAATGTTTAAATTGGTGTCGTGGCTTTTAAATCTAAGCAGAGTCTCCTTGTCACTCATCACTGGTGCCATACATCAGTGGGTTTTGACCACAAGTGTTGTTTTTTCCTTGATGTATTTAAAATTGTTGAAGGCAAAGACATTGAGATAAATCCACAATAATCTTCTTACAAACTGTTAGTCCTTTGGAGTGCTGGAACCAACTCATGATCTGTCAGTGTTGTTGACAGTGTCGTAATGTGACATGTACGAGACACAGCCTGTGATCTGTGATTATTAAAAGGACGTGAAAAGGACAAAGCAGAACAGATGCAGCACTGAACATAGGGTTTTTTGGGACAGAGTTTTGAATCACTGCTATTAGGACACAACTCTAATTAAAACAACCAGTCCACTCCTTGTTTTTACTAAACTCTGATACCTCTGATTTGTCAGGTTGGGTTCAGTTACCAAGTACCCATCCAACACCAGAGCTTTTTCTCCCCAAACTGAAAGTATGTATAGACAAGATAAGATAAGATAAGATAAGATAAGATAAGATGAGATGAGATGAGATGAGATGAGATAAGATAAGTTATGCCTTTATTTATCTCACAATTCACATTGTTGTCAGCAGCATTACACACAGAGAAACACACATACTGGACAGAAAAATGTACATAAGAAATTGATGACCTGAGGTTACAGGTCAGCAGTGGGCACTGACACTAATCTGGCATATCAGAGCAGGAGCATCGTTTGTCATAGGCCACCCGGCACCATGAGCTCATTGAATCACCAGGGACTCCAGTCTAATTGGGTATTGATGTTTTATGTTTGTGCAGATGCAGACGAGTGCGCAGAGGGTTCAGACGACTGCCACATTGATGCTCTCTGCCAAAACACAGCCAAGTCCTACAACTGCATCTGCAAGCCAGGCTACAAGGGAGATGGCAAGCAGTGCGAGGGTAAGTCCTACTTTATCAAAACGCTACTGGGTGAGCCCAGTGCGTGTGAAAGCACAATCTACAGCGGCTGGGATTTAAGGGACAAGTAAGGCTCACACCAACTTCTAAAAAGACCGTCACACCCAACGAGGAAAGGAGAGCTTATTCTTATACAAGCTGTTGCCAACTGGTTGCTCAGAGGAAGTCCAAAGGCTGCTATGGATTGTTGGGTTCTCTGTTTAAATTTGTAAGGTCTATACCTGACTGTGTTAAGCGCTGTGTGATGACATGTGTTGTAAACTGCGCTATACAAATAGAATTGAATTGAACTGAATTTAGCATAGGCTCCAGCCCCCCATGACCCAAGTGAGGATTAAGCAGTGTATAGATAATGGATGGATGAATGAATACAGCTGTATGTCGGAAGAAATTCCACTATTGGAAAGTAGAATCAGGACTGTCTGACAAACTTCAGCAGTAATGCTCACATTCTTAGCAAAGCTCAGTGTACCAAAGGTAAACTCTAGTAAGTCTATTGTCTGGTTAAAGTTCTGACTGTACTCAGTCAAAAGTCATTGGTAAAGGATGAATTGGTTAGTTTTAGGAACCACATCCTCTCAATTAAACGTTCATTTACGTCTATAACTTGTGGCTGTAAGTTAAATAGTTCTGAATGAGGAACTCCAGCATTTGGACCAGGAAACACATTTACAAGCTGCTATGTCAGATGTCAAAAACATATTTATCGAAAGATTTACATCAGTACTAAATTCAGCTGATATGAAAGGGTTTAACCATGTGAACTTGTCCATATGGTGTTTTATTTGCTACAAGACACATCATGGGTGAAATCAGCAGCAAACACTATGGCTAAGCATTTCCACCATGGGGCTGCAGAGTTGTAGGGACAGTCTCAAAAACACAGATTCTGACTTTGAGGGTTTTAAATTTAACAAATCCAAGAAACCACTTGTGTCAGCTTGGAGTTTGGAGCATTCTGTATCATTACTTTTTTTTGCCTGAAACATTTAAATATGAATTACTCCAGTGTTAAAACTTATAGTTGATTAGATTTACAGTGTTTGAGCAGAGGCTTAGGCGAGCTGGTGTGCTTGAACTGCAACGAATGGGAAGGTGTGGGTGGTGAGAGAGAGGCAGGGACCTCATAGAGCTGCACATTCTAGAGCAGGGGTGTCCAATCCTGGTCCTCGAGAGCCCCTATCCAGCATGTTTTAGATGTTTCCTTCTTCCAACACACCTGATTCAGATGATCAGGATCATTATCAGGCTTCTGCAGAGCTTGATGATCAACTGATGATTTGAATCAGATCTGTTGGAAGACGGACACATCTAAAACATGCAGGATTGTGGCCCTCAAGGACCTGGATTGGGCACCCCTGTTCTAGAGGGAGCAGCTGAGCCATTTGAAGGCAGGGATGGATTAGTTTCATGCCAAAAAATATTCTATATATATAACGTACACGGAGATGAGTTTTTAGGGGTTTAGTTGATAACCGAAGCGGGACTTTAGGTGGGAGCAGCATTTAAAGAAAGGTTTCCACAAGTGAGACACATTCTTATCAGGTACAGTCTGAGATTCAGCCCGTCTTAAACACACTGAGTCTGAGTCTGAAACGATCTGTGCACAAGAACTGGGCCTCTGATGTAACAGCGGGTTCGACAGCTGTTCCACAACCCCCACATGTACACTCCCCACTCCCCCACCTACAGGTTCTCCTAATTAACGGGGAGGAAGTGGACTAATCGAGGGTGTTAGGGTGAGACGGGGGCAGCACCTGGCTGTGCGCTCACACCTCCGCTCACTTCTGCCTCAAAGCACACCACAGCTGGAGCCGCCCGGCTGCACAGATACACCAGCCCTCTCACACATTTATTTACGCACATGCACACGCAGCACTGTAATCCTCTAATCTTTCCCCTTGTCGTGCACACTCCACTGCTCATATAAATGATGCTACAGTATGTTTACAGTTTCACAACCTTAATAAAATGAAGGAACAATTTAGTGCATATTGTTTTTGAATGACTTATGATGACATTGCATTCCCCACGGTTATCAGGGAGCATGACAGCATCACTTCTAAGTCTGACTAGGCAGGAAAGATGAGTTAAATAGCCCGTTCAACTAGATTACCTAAATCAAATAAAGTTCAAATAAATGCATCCTTTAATGCAAAGTTCCAGGTGTTAGATTTGGAAGCACCAAACACTCTCACCTCTATACCACCATTAGTAACTGTTCTTCGTTATTGATCACATGAAAGGGTCATCTTCATTAGATAGAGTTCTGTTTTTTCTTCAAACACCCTCAGGACATCTTATACATATTATCAGTTATAGGTTTGAATGAGACAGTTATTTCTAGAAAGCTTGGCTAAACTCGCCTTGCATTTTTCTATGTGCAGATACAAATTGCATCAGCTTTCATTTTATTGATCACTGACGGATCTTTTGCTGCTTTCAGCCTTTGTTGTTCCTGTATTGGGTGATTTTTTTTTTTCAATCCAGGAATAACTGACACGTTCCCTGTTTGTTCAGCTGCAGGTGCTCCAACACCCCTACACACAGAATAAGATAGGGCAGTGTTGTGATATGCACGGTACCAGTTTTATGAGTTTTAATTCCATAGGCCATGCAATTCAACCACATAGTAAGTATGATTCAGGAAATTTAAAACAAAAAGTAGAATATACTTGGCAATTACCAGGTCGCTCCCTCAGAGTGATACAAGAGGCTTTTAAAGTTTGTATATGCATGTATTATGTCTTATTATTATTCAAGAGTAAATCATGACCAAGAACAAGTCATGACTAAGTCCTGACATTTTTAGAATTTAGAAGTAAAATGGCTCGCTTGAGGTGAATCTGTCCGTGCTTCTTGTCTCTACATACATCAGCTCTAGCCAGTTAATGTTACATGAAATTCCAGTGAGGAATGACAGCTACTAGGAGTCCATCCATCCATTATCTGTACACTGCTTCACTAGGGTCGCAGGGGGCTGAAGCCTAACCCAGCCAGCTATAGGAGTAACAATGCAAAGTTACACGACACAAAATTAGGTCTTGGTAGTGACAAGTTCACTTGGTGGGTCCCACTGCCATCAATCTGTCACCTCCATCACACATTCAAACTCTTAGCTGACATCAAACTGATCACCACAGTATTGATAATACAGATACTATATATCACACACATAGGAACACTGTCTTACATTAAAACTCTTTCTCACCAGATTTAGTGCGAAGCCACCCAACACTTTATAAAAATCCAGACTTTTGACGTCTTGCAAGGTTTGCACGTTATGATGACCCATGCCTACTCACAAATGTGGACAAACTCTAGCTTTAGAGGAAAGGAGCATTGCAGACCAGTACAAAGTTATTCTGAGGGATCAGCTTTGCTCAGTGTCTAAACATTTCTGTCTCGATGTGAAGACAACGCCTGCATCCACGGAGTATGAAGGGTCACTGAATGGTTTGATAAGTATGAAAAATCAGACGCTATGGCGCTCACATTCACCAGATCTCAACCCAACAGACCACCTGTGGGAGATTTTGACTGATGTGTTAGACCACCATCATCTAAACACCATATGAGGGAACATCTATTGGAGAATGGTTTTCATCCCTTCAGTAGGCTTCCAGACACAGTTGATGTCAAGGATCACTGAATCTCTTCTGGAGGAAGTTGGTGCTTCAGCACCTTACTGATGCACTTTATTTGGGTTTTTGCTTTAACTAGTCACCCATCTGTATGTTTTAATATTATTTAAAACGTTAGCATTGCGACTAATCCCTTAGAGTAATGCATGAATGCTAGCTAGTTGGAAAAAGGGGTAGTTTTTCTATTTTTCCGGTTTTATGGACATGAATGCAGCAAGTCCCTGAGAGCTGTAGCTTCTTTGCAAGCAAGAAAATAATCATCGTTTCAGTTCGTTATCATCACGAGAGCTTCAACACCTGATAGCAACTGTTATAGAGGATGCTGTGTGTGGACTATAAACCCAGAACACCTTTTTTTAAAAAAAGAAAATCAGAGATTGCATCGAGTCACACACGCTGGTGGAACGTCATGACTTCGGCTCACTATAGAACATTTCCACTTCTCTTGCTGGTTTCCCCATGAGCTCTTAATTTCTGCTGCCACTGTGCACTGCTATCTCACACTGACGTCACTTTTGGTTCTACAAACCCTAGATGACCAGGATTATTAACTATTTAAACTAAAGTCCCGTCATACAATCATGATGCAGCTCTGCCCTCGTCTCTTTTGTGATTTATTACTCTGAACAGTCACACTCACGCAAAGTCTGAATAACAACAGCTTCTCTGTCCTCTGAGTGGAGACAGCAAGTGGGTTCGGTTTTTCAGGAATACGATCTTCCTCCCATAAACTTGCTGTCTGAGCAGACCTGTCCTGCCAGCCACTGTTTATGACGTCACTCCACCCCGGCATGCATGTGAATCAGTGTGTGTGTTTCTGTGTGTGGGGGGGAATGATGCACTCTGCTTGAACGGAGCTTGAATGTCAACTGCGTTTTATTACATCACTGTTCTCCATCCAGCGTTTGGATGTGCAGTGTGTGTGTGTGTCAGACATGCTTCACGACACACTCTCCTGCCTTTCGACTCCTGACTGTACGCTGAGATCTATCGAACTCTCCCCCCGGTGATGAGGCAACAACTCATGACAGGGACACCAAATGAAGACAGATGGTGGATGGGAGTTGACCCCTGACCCCAGTGATTAGATATGGGCGCTGTAATTGGCCAGCTGTGTTTTCCATCAACAGGCATTATGGGCCACTTTGCTGGCCAGCGCCATTAGCGGCTTTGCTATTCCTGGAAGCACCTGGAAGCAGCAGAGCCTCTGCACTCGATCTCTGAGTCCCTCAGGTCATTTCTGCTTGTTTATTATCAGCATCACTCCATATCAGCGAATATTCACTCAACAGACGAGTAAAATAGCCACGCATCATGAAAAATTGGATCAAACTGAGG